GGGGGGGGGGGGATTGAGGAGCTGGAGCTGTGGGTAGCACATGATCATGCCACAGGTTTCCCAGAGGTGGGCGTAGAAGCCAGGTCGAGCTGGGCAGGGGGTGGAGGGGCTGCCGGTGGCCGGTCGGTGGCCGTCGTGTGACGTTCGGAATTGGACGGGCAGCGGCCGGAAGGGGGTGGCGGGCAGGGGCGGGCGGTGGGTCTGGGGACGGCGGCAAGGAGGGGGCGGCGGCGGGAAGGGGCAAGACTTGAGTGCCGTACTGTTCGGCGCAACGGTTGTAGCAGACAAGGCAGACAAGGCAGGCACACAGGTCGGGCGTGTCGTTGGCGTGTGGCGTGCAACAAGGCGTGTAGACTCCCCCGTGGAGCGGTCGCAAGGCAAAAAACCAGGCCGAGGCAGCAGACCAAGCCGACAGACATCAGCAGACGGCAGCAGAAGAGCCCCCTTCTCAAGCCCTCCCACCCCCCACATTCCCATCCACCCACACCCGTATCCGAACCGGCTTGCGTGTGACAGAGACCATGGCTGCAGAAAGCAGCTTCAAGGTTGTGCTCCTCGGCGAGGGCTGCGTCGGCAAGACCTCGCTCATCAACAGGTACACCCGCAACGCCTTTGTCCCCGATCACAAGACCACGTTGCAGGCGTCGTTCCAGGAGAAGCGGCTCAACATCGGCGGCAAGCGGGTCAAGCTCGCCATCTGGGACACCGCCGGGCAGGAGCGGTTCCACGCGCTCGGGCCAATCTACTACCGCGACGCCAACGGCGCGCTTCTTGTCTACGACATCACCGACACCGAGTCGTTCCTCAAGGTCAAGAACTGGGTCAAGGAGCTCCGCACCATGCTTGGCAAGGACGTTGTCCTCACCATTGCTGCTAACAAGTCTGACCTCGAGCGCTCGCGCCAGGTCGACGAGGCCGAGGCCGATCGCTACGCTGCGTCGGTCGGCGCTTCGCACATCCACACCTCGGCCAAGGCCGACCGCAACGTCAAGGAAGTCTTTCTTGATCTCACCAAGCGCATGCTCGAATCAGTCGACGCTGCGAGTGCATCTTCCGGTACCCGGGGCCGCGGCCGCCGCGGCGGGGCCCCGCCGCCGTCCGGTCGAGGCTCCGGACCCATCCTCATCGCCGCCGACGAGCCCGACCCTTATGGTGCCGGGCCGTCCAAGAAGAAGTGCTGTTGAAGAAGATGAAGTGTAAACGTAGGATAGTGGTGGTGGTACCATAGTTTTACGCAGGCGACGGTAGGAGAAATGACGACAGAGTGTGATGGCTAGCGCTTGGTCTTCTTGCCCTTGGTCTTCTTCTTGCCCTTGGTCTTCTTGCCCTTGGTCTTCTTGCCCTTGGTCTTGCCCTGCGCACTGCTCGACGAATCATCGCTGTCGTCGGATCTGTCAGATGCCGTCGAGCTTGCGTTCGACGACGACACAGCACCCTTACCCTTGCCCTTGCCCTTATCCTTGCCCTTGCCCTTGCCCTTGCCCTTGCCCTTGCCCTTGCCCTTGCCCTTGCCCTTGCCCTTGCCCTTGCCCTTACCCTTGCCCTTGCCCTTTTTGGACTTGCCCTTCTTGGACTTTCCCTTGTGCTTGTGCTTGTGCTTGGACTTGGACTTGTGCTTGGACTTGTGCTTGGACTTGTGCTTGGACTTCTTGGACTTCTTGAGCGCGTGCCCGATCTCGTTGAGCTGGGTGGCAAGGTCGTCCATGCCGTGGACGAGGCGGCCGTAGTCGTGGTCATAGCCATCGTAGCCGTAGCCGCCGACGCCATCGTACACATCGTAGCCGCCGTACGGGTCGGTGACGACCACGGTCCGAGACGTAGGCGCGGTCTGTGGACGAAGTGCGCGCCGGTCGGAAAAGACTGACGACGAGGTCCGGGTTGACGAAGACGACGATGACGACGACGACGACGACGACGACGAGTCGCCGTTGTACAAGGCAGTATCATCGTCGTAGATTCCGGTCTTGCCACGGATGGACGCAAAGTCGCCAAACAGGGCAGAGTCTGACAGCTCGTCCGAGAGATGGTACTCCGAGTCTGGCTCGGAGACCTGTGGCGAGCTCTCCTGCTTGCGCCGCTTCGTCTTTTGCTCGTCTTTTTCTTCTTCTTCTTCTTGCGAATTCCTGTTGCGCCCGAGGCAGCGCTGTCGGCCTGCCTCTTCTTGCTCCGCTTCTTGCTCCGCTTCTTGCTCCGCTTCTTGCTCCGCTTCTTCGTCTTCTTCATCTTGTGCGACGTGCTACTGCGCGGCGAGCTCGACTCGTCGTACTTGGCGCCGTACACGTACTCGTCATCGCCGTAGGCATCCGAGTCGGCGCCGCCGTAGCCGTAGGCAGACGGCTCGGTCTCGGAACCGTAGTCGTCCTTGAACGTCACTCGGTCCTTCGAGCCCTTCTTCTTCTTCTTGGTCTTGGTCTTCTTGCTTCTATCGACACGTTTGCGGCTCCGCTTCTTGGTCCGCTTCTTCACCTTTGTCATCGTCCCGTCTTCGGCCTCAGTTGCTTCCACCTCAGTCTTGGACGATTTTTTGACCTTGCGCCGCTTGCCCTTTCCGGTCACGACCTTGGACGACGACTTGTGGGTCCGCTTCTTGACCTTTTTGCGCGGCTTTGAGCTGGCATCTGTCTCCTCGCCATCATCATCGTCCCCGACGCTGTCCTTGGACGCCTTGCGAGTCCGTTTTTTGACCTTCTTGACCTTTTTGACCCTCTTGCGAGACTTGGTGCTCACCTCGGTCTCCTCGCCATCAGCATCATCATCGCCTCCCTTGGACGACTTGCGAGTCCGCTTCTTGACCCTCTTGCGAGACTTGGTGCTCACCTCGGTCTCCTCGCCATCAGCATCATCATCGCCTCCCTTGGACGACTTGCGAGTCCGCTTCTTGACCCTCTTGCGAGACTTGGTGCTCACCTCGGTCTCCTCGCCATCAGCATCATCATCGCCTCCCTTGGACGACTTGCGAGTCCGCTTCTTGACCCTCTTGCGGGACTTGGTGCTCGCCTCACCGCCGTCCGTTGCCTCGCTGCGGTCCCGGCCCGAGCGCGCCGAGCGCTTCTTCTTCTTCTTGCGGCGCGAGCGCGAGGCTCCGGTGGCAGCACCCGTGCTCGAGGCATCTGCAGTGGCCTCTGTGCCGACATCCGACCCGTCGTAGCCCGTGGCCCGCTTCCGGCGGCGGCGCTTCCTACTCGCTTCCGACGTTGCTGGCGCCGACGAGGACTTTACCGAGGTGCGGACCCTCTTGCGGGTCACAGACTTCTTCTTCCGCTTCTTGACAGTACCCATGTCTGCCTACCGCACTCCTTCACCTGCTCTGTTCTTTCTGTCCTCCGCAAGCTCACTTCCTACCCAGTAGGCTGGCGACAAGTGCCCTTGATCCGACCAGCCTGGCCCGCCCCGCCCCGCTCCTCTCCTCCCCCCTCCCCAAGCCACTGGCCGCCAATCAACGAACGAACCAACGAACGGACCAACGAACGAACCAACGAACGAACCAACGAACGAACCAACGAACGGACCAACGAACGGACCAACGAACGGACCAACGGACCACAGACCTTCAAACATGGTTCATGCTCGAGTTCATGTCACTGTCCTCCCTCCTCCTGACACACTCACCCATCCCCCTCCCTCCCCTCCACCACACACTCACACACTCAAACACACACTCCACTTCACACACCTATGCGACGACAGCGCAGGCGACTGGCTTACCCAGTCAAGCGCAAGGTGCGCCCGCCTGGAGACGAGCCGCCTGTCCTGCCACCACAGCCTCACTCTCCCTCTCCGTCTCCGCCCCCCTCTCCCTCTCCGCCTCCCTCTCCATCTCCGCCCCCCTCTCCATCTCCGCCTCGGTCGCCCTCGCCACCACCTCCGCCGGCATCACCGCCGCCGCAGCCTTCGCCTCCGCCATCGCCTTCGCCTCCGCCATCACCATCGCCATCACCATCACCATCGCCATCACCATCGCCACCGCTGTCGCCATCACCGCCGCCACAGCACCAGCGCAAGCATCAACGCCGCACCGGTTCCCGCTCTCGTCGCCGCTCTCGCGAGAGCCCATCGCCGCCTCCAGATGGTGGGGTCGGCATCTGGGCCCGCGCTGCTCGCGCCATTGCTCCCCGCGACCAGCAGCCGCCAGCAGCCGCCCCACCCCGCGGCCACGGCCGTGGCTCGCCTGCTCCCGCCACCGCGGCTGTTGATGGCAGCGCCCGCCGTGAGCAGGAGCGTCGTCTGCGAATTGCCCGTCAGGAGCGCGCGAGGCTGGCACGCGAAGAATCGGCACGTCGGACGAAGGAGGCCCGCGAGGCCCGGCTCGCTGCCCGCCGCAGACCGCGCTCTCCTGACGATGACTCGGACTCCAAGTCGCTGGCATCCACCGTCGACGACGGCTCGGCCTCGCCACCAGCCCTCCCATACCTGGCCAAGCTCGGAGGGCATCCGGTTCCCGGCTCGCTGACCCGGGGCCCGGTGTGGGAGCGCATCATGCTCCGAGCTACCACCCCACTCTCTGCTGGCTCTGAAAACGCCACAGAGGGGGACGCAGGCAGTGATGGGCCGCGCCTCAGACGGCCTCGTCCCCGTTCGCTCTCGGCCTCTTCGTCATCCTCGTCATCATCGCCGCCACCACGTTCGCGTGGCTCAACTCGCTCCTCGCCGGCGCACAACCGCCCACAGCCAAAGGCTGTGCAGCCCATCACATCGTCGCGCTCCCTCCGGCTGCCGCACCCGCGTCTTACCACCCCGCCGTCCGAGCCAACAGGCCCTCTGCCGCGAGAGCGGCTCCGTGAGGCCATGGCGACCAAGCAAAACTCGATCTGGGCGCGGGCTGAAGCGACTGCCGGTGCCATCGCAGCGTCGCCTGCCGCTGCGCCGCCGGTTTACGACTCCAGCTCTGATGGTAGCTCCAGCTCTCGCCCTCACTCGCCGTCGTCCAAGCCTGGCCCTCAGGCCGGTCGGACAAAGACCGCACGCTTTGCCGAGCCCGTGGAAAGCGAATCGGCCGAGTCGGCTGTCGCCTCCCAAGGTCCAACCTTGCCGTACCTCCGCAAGATCAATGCGCCCAGGGCTGGCCCCGACCACGGACCTATTTGGACTCGCATCCACGCCGTCGCTGCCGGCGAGAACGACGACGAGCCCGATGAGCCCGAGCCGCAGAGGAAGCGCGGGCCTATGCTACAACGCGCCCCGGTTGTCGGAGCAAAAGCAGCACCCGCACCAACCTGGCGCCCCGGCCAGCAGCAGACGTCGCTGCCGCCGCTGCCGCCCGGTCATAGCAGCCGCGGCCGTGACCGCGTATGGAGTCGCAGCCGCACACAAGGCCGCGGCCGCGGGAATGGGAGCAGCCGTGCCGCTGCCTCGGTCCGCGAATGGTCGCGTCGGCCGCAGCTCGAGCGGAAGCTCTCCACCGAGTCTATCTCGAGCTTGTCGTCGGCGTCATCTCTGCCGCCGATGCCCGACGGCGTGACGGTGGCGTCGGTGGTCAAGACATACCCTTTGCCCGACGCCACCGACGTTGAGCCAACCGTCTGGCTCAGCTGTACCTTTTCGCATTCGCGCAAAGCTGTCGCCAGGCACATCGAGTCGGGCTTTCGGCTGTTTGGCGGAACCCGCCGGGTGCTGGGCACCTTCTCCTGGCGGCACAATCACAAGGTCCTCGAGTTTAAGCCTCTGCTCTCGCTCATGTCGTCGACCTTTCACACGCTGACTCTGCCGGCGCGGTACGGCGCGCTGGACGAGTCACTCCAGTTTACCTTTCGCACCACCGTCTCCACCACGTCGGGCATATGATAACACAAGGATCAGTCGTCAGAGAGCTCAAACTGGTCGTTCCCGCCTTGCCCTCCAACCACGCCCGCCTTGGACGCTGGTGAGTCCGAGGCTGAAATGCCGAGCGGCGGCGCAGACTCGGATGAGAGCTGAAAGTCGATGTCAACGCCGGCGCCGCCGTCCATAAGATCGTCGTCGTCCAGCACGACATCATCAAGCCCCAGGTCTTCGTCGCCAAGCCCGATGTCGTCGTCGTCAAGCACCACATCGTCCAGGCCGAGGTCAATGTCGTCCGAGTCGATGTCGTCAAGCCCGAGCGGCGCAGTAGGGCCCAGCTCGTCGTCGTCGAGCACCAGGTCGTCGAGCCCGAGATCTGCATCTGCCAGCCCGTCGTCGCCAGACTCCAGCTCCACATCAGCAAGCGCGGCATCGAGCTCGGCATCGTCAACTTCGAGCTCGCCGAGTCTGATCGAGCCGTCCACGTCCGACTCGGCGGGCAATTGCGCCGCTTCTACCTTGGCGGCCGACGCGTCGACTCGCTGGGCGACGACGGCGAGGACACCGGCCACGCCGTCGATGTCGTTGCGGAGCCAGACCACGGTCTTGTCGAGCACGTCTGCCAGGGTGAGCGAGGCCTCAAAGAGAACAACCGATGCACCCGGTGCCACGCCAGGCTCGGCCTGCCGCGCGGTAAAGCGGATGGCGGCAGAGGCGGAGGGCTCGAATGGGCCAAACTCAAACGTCTCCTTGAACACCGGGTCGACCGAGTCGTGCACGACCGCGGTCGTCGCCACGTTCTTCACCCCATCGACTTCGACCGCCACAAATGCCGAGCACGAGCCGTACGCGGTCGTCTGCTCCAGCTCCTGTGCCTCAAGGACCGTGACCTGGACGACAACCGCTTGCTCGGTCGGTGGCGGGGCCCGGGCGACGGAGCGCTCCGGGAAGACGTGCAGCTCGCAGACCGAGTCTGACTCGGGCGGCGGCGCCCACGATGCCATGTGAGATGAGGCGTGGACGTAGTAAGGCGCGCGGTAGACCGGGTCGTACGCCTTGATCCACTCGTAGTGGCCAAGGTCGTCGACGAGTCGGCTCACCGCCGCGCTCGCCACATTGTCGCCTTCGTTGGCCGCCGCCGCCGTCGCCATGTCTTGATCGGCTGGCGGCAGCGAGGCGAGCGCCAACGCGTCGAGCGACGACCGTGGCGCGGGGACGTAGAACTTGTCGAGCGCCCGCAGAACGCCACAGAGGAAGCCAGCGGTCGGTGGATCGTCGCGGAAAGAGTACTCGACGTAGTAGGGGTTGTCGATAAAGTCCTGGATGGCCTCCATGGCTACAAAGTCAACCGAGTGCGGGAGGTCCAGCAGCCGCGCCACAGCGGCGGCGCCGGCCTCGGGATCAGCCAACAGGCCGGCGCCGTTGCCGAGCCCAAGGACGCAGCCGGCGGCATCGAGGAGGTCGACGACGCGCTTCGGCTGCGGCGGGTGGTTCGCCATCCAAACCAAGTCGTCCTCAAACGCTTCGCGCCACGGCAGCAACGCAAGCTCTGCCACCGCCGTGCTGCCCTGGCGCTTGCGAACCTCGGTGGCGGGCACAAACCGTGGGCGCGCGCCGGCGGGCGTGTCGGGACCCGCGCCCGGTCGACCGGCGGGGTCGTCGGCCTCGAGCAAGCCGAGGATCTCATCCGAGTCAAACTCGCCGTCGTCCATCTCGGAGAGGAGCGAGAGGTCATCGCCGGTGTGGTACGTGGCGTCAGGAATCGAGTCAATGTTGTCGAGGTCGAGCAGCTCATCCTCAAAGTCCTCGTACGGCGTGACAGTGATCCGGCCCGTGGCGTCGGCCTGAAAGTGGAGGGCCTTGAACGAGGCCGGCGGAGGCGCGATCGTTTCGGCAGCCTCGGCCTCAAGGTCCTCGTCGTCAGCCTCCATGCGCTCGGCGAGCCGAGCAAGCTCGTCGGCAATGGGGTCGACGCCGCCACGGTGACTCTCCATGTACGACCGCGGCGTGTTGAGCCTCCGCCGAATGTCAGCCCGTCGCTTCTGCTTGTACAGCGTGCGGATGAGCGCCTCACGTTCAGCCTTGCGCGAGTTGCGCTGCGCACGCTTGGCAGCCTCAAGCTCGCGCCGCCGCATCCGCATTTGCGCGAGCACGTGGCCAGCGCGCTCGTCCTCGGTCGGAGTGTGTGGCGAGGCGTGCGACCGACCCGACCGCGGCGACGAGCGGTCGGGCGTGTGCGACCGCGAGCGGGAGGCTCGGGAGGCCGGCGACGCCGGAGCCGCTGCCGCCACCCGCGCCTTGACTCTCGCCAGCCGCGCCGCGCGGTCCTCCATTCTCTCGCGGGTGTGCGAGACCGCCATCCGCTCGCGGACACGCTCCTCCGCAATCTTGCGCCGCATCCGCGTCACCGCGTTGCCGTGGCCTGTCTTGCGGTCGACACGGGCAGACGGCGAGCTGCTAACCGACCCGGCCTTTGACAGGACCCTTGCTCGCGACGACGAGCCCGGCCGTGGGCCAGCCCGCCGCGGCCCGACCTTGTCACCCCGCACGTACACGTACGGCGACGAGTCTGCCAGATCGGTGGTGTACGCTGCCGGCTGGTAGCTCTCGCCTCCGGGTGCCAGTGTGTGCGTCGCCAGGAACGTCGATCGCCCGATCGAGCCCTGAACCCGCATGGCGTACGGCAGCTCCATGTACGCCTCCAACGACGCCGATGCCGTCGCACCGGCATGCTGACCCTGCGGCGTGCCACCCAGGTCCGGCTGACGCGGCGAGGTCCGGGGCCCAGGCGTGCCCCTACCCGGCGTGCCCCTACCTGGCGTGCCCCTACCTGGCGTGCCCCTACCTGGCGTGCCCCTACCTGGCGTGCCCCTACCTGGCGTGCTACGACTGCTTGCTCGCGACGGTGTCCGCAGAGGCGTTGAAAAAGGCGGTGGTTGCCGACTCCGTCGCGGCGACGGTGTGGCCACCGGCGTTGCTGCGGCTGCTGCGGCTGCTGTCGACATACAGGAGCAGGTTCTGCAGTGTGTTGTGGCTGTACAAAGCGGGTGGAGGGTGAGGGTGGAGGGGGGGGGGGGGTGGGGGGGGGGGGGAAGGGTGCGGAGTGTGGTAGCCGTGGCCGTGCCCTCCCCCCCGGGCTGGTGTGATCAGATCAGCCTGCTGTGCCAGTGATCGATCGGCGACACCTGGCCGCCAGTGGCGGTGGTGGTTGGCGCCACAAACGGCGGCCAATGGCCAGTGGCCACTGTGGTAGAGCAGCCACTCCCGCTGCTGCTGGCACCCGTCGCACCCAAGGCACGGCGCAGCGCACAGGCACGGCCAGGCACGTCCGTACCACCACAGCCGCTCCACCCGCCACATCCCGCAGGTAGCGCGCCAAGTGACACGGGAGGCGTGGAGGCCATGGACTCGGCCACCCCATCGTCCATGAACACACAGTTCTTCCGCGACTCGTACAAGTTCCTCATGGAGCCACTGGCGCCCTCGTCGCCGCTGGCTACTCCGCTGCTGCGCTCGGCGGCCGCAGCTCCTGTGCCGCTGCCGGCCACACCGCCGCTGGTCGCAAAGTACGCGGCGGGCCGTGCTGCCGGCGCAGGCGCAGAGTTTGCCCGCCTGCCCAAGCCGCCCGCCCCGCCGTCACTCCTCCCCGCCGACACCACGCACGAGCCCGTCTACGACGCTGCGCATGACGCCACACATGACACATTTGCTCTCTTTGACGGCGGCGAGGCGAGCCTTGGCCCGGCCGATCGCCCACCACACCCGGGCGCATCAGTCACGAGTGTCCACGCATACGATGCGGCCACCGTCTCCGCCGCCGACAATCTCGAACGCCGTACCCGCGATCTCGAGCTGCGCGAGCGCGAACTGGCGCTGCGCGAGCGTGAGCTGGCGCTGTCACGGGCCGAGGCTGCGCCGCAGCCACAGCCACCGCCGCAGCCTTCGCCCCAGACTGCGTCCTCCGCGTCCACCCCGCCCCAGCCCGAGCCTCTAACCCATGCCGAGTCTCCGCCGCATCCCAGCCCACAACACTCGCCCGCGCTTCGCCCATTCTCGGCATCCGTCGATGATTCCGTCTCGTTTAGTCCTCGCACCAGCGGCGCGGCTGACGTCGACGACAGCACAGCGTTTGTGCCGGCGTCGCAAGCGCTCTTTGACGAGGCTGAGGCCGCGTTTGCCATGCACGCGGCGTCACGGAGCTCGACGGTGCCGGCCTTCGACTCGGACTTGTTTGACGACTCGCCCCAGCAGGCAGCCGAGTCGTCGATCTCGCCGTCATCGTACTTTCGCGGGCGCTCGGGCCCGATGGGCACGCTTGACGCTTCGCTACACGCCTCGACGCCGCCACACCCACGTCCAGACTTTGCTGTCGCTCTCTCGCCGACCATGTCGCCGGCGCCGCACTCGGGGAATCCATCGCCCGGCCTGGCCTCGGTCATCTCGTTTGGCACGCTGCCAGCTGGCGCGTGCACAATGCACTATCTCGCCACAACCAACACAGTCATCGACCCACAACGTGGTACGCTCTCGGTCACGCTCGCCGGCGCGGACAAGGACGCATTTGCCTTTGTCTTTGTCGACACCGACATCGTGCTCTTGTTTGTGGCGCCCGAGGCTGTCGACATTCCGACCCTCTACTCGGCCACACTCATTGTGGCATGTTCCGGAAACGCACCGCTGCATGTCTTCCTGCAGGCTTCGGTGGTGCCGGCACTTCCGATCGCTCTCGACCGCAACGTGTACGAGAGCCTCCAGCTTGACAGGCCTTCGTCGGCCAACAAGGTTGCCATCACCAACAGCTCCCAGAGCGTCACCCAGGTTGCGCTCTCAGTCTCAGAACCGAGTCTCTTTGTTGTCCAGCCGTCGTACGTTTCGATTGCGCCCGGTGACACGGTAAGTGTGACGTTGGCCGCCACCGAGCGCGCGGACGGAGTCTGCGCCGCCGAGCTTCTGGTCGCCAACGTCGAGACAGGCGTCGTCCTCCGGCTGCATGTCACCTCTGGCCGCGAGCGTGTGCTGGTTGACCTTGATGCCGAGGAAATGCAGAGCAAGATCAGTAGCAGCGTCCCGCAAGCCAACTCCCGCATGCTCTCTTCGTCAGAGCTCGCCAGCTCGGGTACCTGGTCGCAGCGAAAGCTGTCTCCATCTCGCTCCCTTCGCGCAGAAACAAGCGCTGGTCCTGGGCCTGCGGCGCCTCCGCCGGCGCCACCGTCGCTTGCTTTTGAGCCTGCTGGCGGTATCTCATTTGGCGACGTCGATCTGACGACCACGCCGCAGCCTTTTGAGCGGTTCCTGGTTGTGACCAACACGGGGTCGACAAACGTCTCGCTGGTTCCCGTCATCTCAACGCCGTCCGGTGAGGCGCCAGCATTCGAGGCGGTTGTCCTCGAAGGCCGCGAGCTCGCGCCGGGGAACTCGGCCCGAGTCCGCATCGCGCTCCTCGCCGACACCGATGTCAGTGAGCAGGGGCCGGTGCCGATCCTGTACGACGCGCTGCTGCGGATGAGTGGGCTGCCGCCACTCCCGCTCCGGGCCCGGATTGGGTACTCTCGGCTCCAGATTCCAAAGTCGGCGACCGTGCTCGAGTTTGATTGCGCGCCGGCGGCGGCGCACACTCTCCAGCTCCCGCTCCGCAACTCGGGCAACCTACCGCTGGTGTTAGCGCTCTCACCGCAGAATGCGCGTCACTTTACAGTTGCACCTGCATCTGTTGTCCTCCCGCCGGCCTCGGTTGTGCCGGTCTCGGTCACCTTCCGAGCTCAGGATCTCACGCCATCGTCGGCGCTTGAGTCGGTCCTTCTGCTCAAGGCAGGCAAAGACGTGCACCACATTGCGCTCTCTGCCAGCGTCATTGGTGCCGCCCTCACCGCTCCTCGCGCCGCTAATCGTCCCCCTTTTACTCCACTCACCGCCACGCTTGGACGTGAAGAGGCTCAGGCGTCACGCTCCGCCGCGAGCCCGCACGTCACAAAGCCCGCTGACACCCCTGTCGAGAGTACAGGTGGCGACAAGGCCGAGGCGGGCCCAAGGCTGGAGCTGGGGCTGGCGGTAGTTGGAAAGGCCAAGCAAGCGTCGCTGGTGGAAGACGTGGCTGTGGCGACTGCGGCTGTAAGCGCCGAGTCGCCGGTGGCGTCTTTCGGCGGCGTGGCGCGTGGCGACGTGGCTCAACTCGCAGTTGGCCTCACCAACCGCGGAGGAGGGCCGGTGCTTGTTCACGTGGCCATCGTCCCGGATGACTCGCCGTTCTCGTTTGTGGAGCCGAGCCTAAGTGCAGTCCGGCTGCCACCAGGCACAACCCGGCTTCAGATGCTGTATCGTCCAGAGCACGTGCGACCGCTGCGGCGGGACAAGGCCCAGCTGCTTGTGACTACTCTGGACGGCGAACGGGTGCTATCGCTCCCGCTGCTCGGCTACGGCGGGCTAGCACGGCTCCGGGTCTCGGCAAAGGAACTCGACTTTGGGCTCGTTGCGCACGACGACCCGAGCGTGCGGACTCTGCACGTGACCAACAGCGGCGACCGAAGCGGGTTTGTGGCCCTCTCGGCGCCGGCGTCGACGCTTGGACTGGCGCGGCGCCTCCGGATCCTGCCAGCGTCGCAGGGTGTGGTGGTCCAGCCTGGCGCGACGGCACGGTTCACACTTGTCATCGACCCTGTTGCGAGTGGCTCTGGCGCCAACAGCGCCAGTAACGGTCCGTTCTCGCTTGTCATCGGCGTCCATGCTGGAGACGAGCTCGCGCGAATGCTGCGCAACGCAGCTCGGACCCGGCGTCGCAGCCCGGGTGACCTATTTGACGGCAAGTTTGACGGTGCAGCGCCGGCGTCAACGCTGCCGGAGTTGGGATGGCCAGAGGAGGACTTTTTCGACGAGGCCTCGTTCGATTCGCACCTTGAGGGCTCGTCGGTGGTGCTCATGGGGCGCCAAGGAAGCCAAAAGCCGGCAGAACGGCCGCAAGGTCGCCAAGCTCGTGCGCGTGTACCTGGCAGCAGCAGTGCCGCGACGATGCGAGAGTCTGGCCCTCGCCCTGCGCCTCTGCCGACGCCTGCGCCGGAAGCGGACCGCGTCGGCGTCCTGGCTGTGGCACCGACGCGGCTGGCGCTTGACAAGACCAACCTATTTGCGCAGCCGCTGGGGGTGAGCAACACTGGCAGTGCGCCGCTGACGTTCCGGGCCGTTCCACATCTGACTGAGCTCACGTCGCGAACGCCGTACGTGCTCTCTGTCGATCCGCGGTCGGGGGTGGTGGCGCCGGGAGAGACCCGCGAGGTTGTGGTGCGTGCGGTGGCCGATGTGGAGGAGGAGGTCATCAACCAGGTACTTGTGGTTGCCGGCGCGGACGAAGTGCTGTGCAGCGTGCGCGTGGCGCCGCGGGCGCCGCGGGTGCGGGAGCATCCGCCCAAGCCTACGAACTCGACTGCAGCGAGCATGAGTCTTGGCTCGGGTCCGGCGACGCAGCTACAGACGATGCAGGCGCCGGGCGGGCACGATGCCAGCGGTGCGCGGCCTGTCGAAGTGGCTCCGCGAATGGTGACGTTTGCGGCTGCGAGCGGGTCAAGCCCATCCCATGCGCAAGTTGTGTTGAGCAACCCCAACGCGGTGCGGGTGGCTTTTTCGGTGGAGAGCGAGGATCGGCTTGGTCCGTTCTCGTTTGGGCTCAACCACGGGACAGTAGCGCCGCAGTCGGCGCTTAGCATCCCGGTCGTGTTCGCTCCCGCAGACGAGGGCGATCACGCGGTAGCAGCGACGCTGCGGGTGTACGGGCACGTGGGCGGTGGCGAGGGTCAGACGCTAACGGTGTACCTCTCCGGAACTGGGCTAGCGCCCGTCGACGGGCAGGTGTATGTGGAGGAGAACGGCCTGGTCTTTCCGCCCACGCTGGTAGGCTCGCTGCGGATGGCCAAGGCAACGATCTGCAATGGCGCCGCGAGTGAGCGAGTGGTGCAGGTGGCGGTGGCAGGTGGCGAAGGCGGAGTGTTCTCCATCCGGCCAACGCACGCCAAGATTCGCGTCGCACCGCGGTCGTACGTCCGGCTCCCGGTTGTGTACCGACCGGGCGAGCTCGGAGCACAGAGTGGGACGCTCATCATCCACAGCGGCGGACGCGAGGTGCGACTTGCGCTCCGCGGCGATGCAGTCGAGTCGTACTTGGCGGTCTCGTCATCGCAAGTGGCGCCGGGCGGAGCGATTCGGTGCTTCAACATGGGCGACACGCCGCTGGCGTGGGAGGCGACCGGGCATGGCGGCGCCAACGTGAGCACCACCTCGGGCGTCGTTGACGGGGGTGGCGTCGTTGACATTGACGTCGAGCTGACGCGCACCAGCCGGCGGCGGCGCGGCCCGCATCCGCACGTTGTCATTGCCTCGATCGACGAGGGCGTGTCGCGGACGGTGGCTGTTGTCGGCAGGTCGACAGGCCGGTTGGGCTCTGTCGACGGGTCGCGATCAGTCACCTTTGCGCCAGATCCCTGGGCATCACCGGCGCCCGACCGGAAATCGTCTCGTGTCTCGCAGCGGCTTCGGTAAGTGTCCAGCCGCGGGCTGGAAGACTGGGTAAAAGCAAAAGCGCAAGATTGCGTGTGCCTAACGATTGGTGCTGACCTCACGCTGTCCGGGCCGAGAGCTTGCCAGGGCGCGGGTGAAGCTCCACGCCACCACCTCCCACACTCCTCTGCACGACATGGCAACGTCGGCGACGGCAGAGAGCGGGATGCAGGCCGCAGGCGGGCGGCACCGCAACTCGCGGTGGGAAGAGTTGACGGTGGCAGAGGTTCTGGGGCGGAGCGAGCCGCGGGTGGGTGCCGGGGTGGGCGCTTCCGGGTGGCTGGGTGAGGTCCGCAAGGCGGTGGCCGGTATGGGCCCTGGCGAGGCGGTGCGGTTCTTGGTGGGCGCGCTGACGCGGGCAGGGAGCTTGCCGCGGTACCCGGATCGGCAGCCGGAGCGAGCAAAAGTGTTAGACTACATGGAGCGGTCGTTGCGGTCGCTGCTTGGTGGAATGCTGATCTCGTCGCCGGCAGCGTCGGCGGGCGCTTACGCTGCGCTCATCGAGGCATGCTCGTCGGCGTACACGGCGCAGCGGGTGCTGGGTGGCCTGGCAGCTAGCTTTGGCGGCGACGGCGGTGAATGGGACGCAATGGTGCTAGCGATGATGGACACGCTCGGGGCGACGATTGCAGGCACAGTGGCGCGCGGACGGGCGAGCCCTGCGACGAGCACAGCATTTGCTCAGCCGCTGCTACCGCTGTTGCGCGTGGCAAGCGCGGTGCTTGCAGCCTCCCCGCAGAGTCTGAAGGCTCTGGCGGCGAGCCCGTCGCTGCAGGTTGGCGGCGCCGACGAAGGGCGGAGCGGTGCCGAGCTCGAGCGGACGCTGGTGGTAGGCCCGTGGCTCGCGATCGGCGCGCTTGATCTTGTGGCGATGGAAGTGGTGTTTGACGACGACGCGACAGGCGGCGGGCAAGCTGCACTGGTGTATGGATCGATGGCGGCGGTCCGCGAGGGGACGGATGCTGTGCTGGGTGAGGTGCGTGGGCTTGTGCGCAGCGTGCTCAAAGCCGACAAGGATGCGGCGTTTGCCATGCTCGAGGCGCTTGTGGCGGCCAACGCGCCGCGCGGGAGGATCATGGTCCAGGATACATCGGGAGTCTCGTCGCGGTCGCTCTGCTTCAACCTTGGGGCTGTGCTCACACGACTGTGCGAGCCGTTTGCGCGGGCGCGGGCGCGGGCGAGTTCGCACCTTGCCGAGGTCGACGGCAGCTTTGTGGCTACGAGCAGGATGTTCAAGCTCGAATCGGAGACGCTGCTCGCGGCGACCAACTCGGAGCTCGAGGCGTGGGTCGACGTCCGCAACGCGTCGCTGCAGGAGCAATGGGCGCATGCGCGCGAGGAGCTGGGCGCGGCTGCGCCGTCGCTTGAGGAGGCGATGGACGAGGTGCGGGCCGGCGCTGGGCGGTACTCGGGGACGACACGTCTGTTTTTCCTCGGACTCCGGGCGCTGCATCAAGGCCCCGTGGCGCTGATGCGGCAGTACATGGAGCTGTCGCAGCAGATGTCGCGTGCGCGGCGGAATGTGGACTTGATGGAGGCCACCGGTGGCCGCGCAGCCCAAGTTCAGGCGGGCAAGGCATTTCTGGCGCAGGCCAAGGCAAAGTGTCTCGGGATCCAGGCGGTTGTACTCTTGCCTACCCTTGTTGACTCGATGCTGGAGCTGTACGGGTACGCGGCCGAGTGGCTGGTGTCGCTTATGGTCCTGGGTCCGGAGGACTCGCTTGAGGGACAGGGCGCGCTGGGCGAGGCGCTGGAGCAAGCGCAGTTCCCGCTGGGAGCGCCACACCCGCTGTTTGCGATTCTGCCGGAGCACATGCTAGAGGACGTGGTCGAGGTAGTCATGTTTGTTGTCCGTGTAGGCGGGGCGGAGCCGCACATGGCGCGGAGTGTGGTGCGGATGCTCCCGCTGCTTATGGTTGCGCTCGGGGCGCCGCGGCACGTCAAAAACCCGTACTTGCGGGCGCGGATTGCGGAGCTGCTCTTCCTGCTCACACCGGGCAACGGGCGGACCGAGGTTTCGTTTGCGGGCGCAACGTACGAGGAGGTACGCGGTAGTGTGGGCAGGGCGTTTCCGGCGTCGTTGGTCGAGCTGTTTGTTGAGATCGAGGCGAGCGGCGGGCACTCGTCGTTCTACGACAAGTTTTCTGTGAGACACCACATTGCAGGCATCACACTCCACATGTGGCGGGTATCGGCCGAGTTCCGGGCCGCCTTTGGCGAGTTTGCGGTCGGAGCCGGGCAGGCGCTGTTTGTCAAGTTTGCCAACGCGGTGATGAATGACGCGACGTTTGCGGTCGACGAGTCGATCGGCAAGTTTGAGCGGCTCAACGAGCTGGCTGGGGCGAGCTCGGCCGAGGACATGGCCGAGCTCGACCAGGTCCGCGGCTCGATCCAGATGTTCATCGAGCTGGCGAACGACTCTGTGGGCATGCTCGAGGTGCTGTGTGGCGGAAACGTGACGCGGGGCCTCCTGCTGGGAGCAGACGGACTGCAGTCGCGAGTGGCGCGGCTACTCAACCACATGACGGCGCTGCTGCTGTCGGAGCAGGTTGCAGCGCTCCGTGTCTCGCGCGCCAACGAGATCGACTTTGACCGGCGGTCGCTGCTGCGGTCGATCGCAATGATGTTCGGGCATATGGGCCGTGAGGCGGTGTTTGTGGCAGATGCCGCAGCCGACGAGCGCAACTGCAAGGCGGAGCACTACGCGGCGCTGGCGGAAATGTGCCGGACCAGTGTGCTGCTTAACGAGAGCGATATTGTGGCGCTCGAGGCGGTGTTTGCAGCGATTGTGGCGGCCAAGGTGGCGGGCGAGGCGGCGGCGGCAGCAATGAGTGAGGCGCCGGACGAGTTTCTGGACGCGCTCACTTACGAGGTCATGCACGATCCGGTCCTCCTGCCGCAGTCGGGCATGGTGTGCGACCGGTCGACCATTGTGCGACAGCTGCTGTCGGATCCGACCGACCCGTGGACCAAGACACCGCTCCGGGTGGACGATCTGGTCACGCAACCAGAGTTGCGTGCACAGATCAGAGCGTGGCTGAGCAAGGTCGGAGGAGGTGGTGGTGGTGGCGGTGGTGATGGTGAAGCCGGACCGAGCGATTAAATAGCCAGCCTCCGAGGTGAGAGTTGTTGCCCGAGTGATCTGGATCCGGATCCGGATCCGGATCCTGCACCAGCAGGGAGAAGGGGGCAAGGGCGAGAACAGCAGCAAGCGCGACACCCGACGCAACAGCAGAGCAAGCACCCTCTTCTCCGCACAGGCAGTGAACCCCCCACATCCACACAACCACCCCACCACCACACCCCAAGCGCACCCCCCGTACATCCCGATGGACGACACTGCCGCAGCTGCCGCGGTGGTGGCCCACTTTGGCCTCGACGGCCCATCCGGTTCCGAGCCATCTCCGGTGCTCCCTGCCGAGGCGGAGGCCGAGTACCCGAGCCTTGGGCAGGTGCAGGGACTGGAGGAGGAGGAGCGAGAGCAGGTGCTGCTGCGGGTGTCTGGACAGGCGCTGCGGTGCCTCCGGTTCACCGCCAAGCTGCTGAGCGCATGCCAGGCTGCGCTTGGCCTCCCGCACGACGCGGTGGAGGACGTGGTGGCGTCGGGCATGACGCTCTCGGGCGACGGCGCCGACGTCTCGGCCGGCTTTGTTAAGCTCGGTCTCTGGCGCAAGATCCGTAAGGTCTCGGCCAAGCTCGTTGCTTCTGCCGAGAAGGCTGCTGTTGCGGCGCCGGTGGCAGCAGTGGCGGCCGACCCGCTCCGCCCGCCCGTGGCCACCAACGACGAGTCCGGCGCCGAGGTGGCGAGCTGGTGGATGGCGACGTTTACGGAGATGTTTGGCGACGAGCTCGATACCATGCGTCTGGAGCCCGGCTTTAATGCCAACTCGGTCTCGGTCCTGGTCGACTCTATCCAGAAGCAGCTCGGGGTGGTGTCTGCCCCTGGTGCTGCCCTGTAGCAGTCGGGATCAGGCTGAGCTGACGAGAGGAGGCCAGATTAGTAGAAGTAGCAGGAGGAGGAGGAGGAGGACGAAGAGGAGGCAAAGTCGCCGAGCGGCCGGGGCCGGCTGCGACGTCTGCGATGTCTGCAACATCTGCGATGGTAAAGGCGATGATGACTGCAGCAGGCGGAAGCGCCACTTGTCTCTCGAGCGGGACGGGACAAGCGAGCGGCCGGGGGGATTCTCGGGGCAGACATGGCAGCGACAGCGGTTGATGGGCAGGCGGCAGAGGCGGGGCAGGTGGCGGTGGTGGTGACGGTGGCCGACGGCGTGGTCACCATCCGGCTGAACAGGCCGAAGAAGGGCAATGCGCTGACGCCGGCGGCAGTGGAGGCGCTGCGAGCGGCGGTGGCGGCGGCAGGCGACGACACGGCGGTCCACGCCGTGGTGGTGACCGGGACCGGCAAGTACTTTTGCACCGGCATGGACTTGTCAGCTGGCAACCAGGAGGCGATGCGGGCCAAGGCCGGACGGGCTGATGGGCGCGATGGGGCCGGCGGCGGGAAGGGCGTGGCCGACTTTATCGGCGTTTTTGAGGAGCTGGCCACGCTGGCCAAGCCCACGCTGGCGGTGCTCAATGGGCCGGCGCTGGGCGGTGGTGTTGGCCTTGCCTTTGCCTGTGATCTGCGGGTGGGCAAGGCCGATGACTACATCGCCTTTACCGAGGTCAAGCGCGGCCTGGTGCCGGCGATGATCTCGACTTACATTGTGCCGCAGCTCGGCCCGTTCTTCTCACGCGAGCTGATGCTGACCGGACGGCGGACGTCGCTGCAACGGCTGTACGAGATGGGCGCCATGACGAAAGTGGCCGAGAGCGAGGCCGGTGTGGAGCTGTTGGTGGCGACGCTGATGGACGAGCTGCGGACCTCAGCGCCCGCGGCGATGGCGGCAACCAAGAAGCTCATCGGCTTTGTCGCCACGCACCCGCACGCCGAGGCCATGGCGGAGGCTGTCGGCGTCTTCAAGGCCTCGCTCCGATCGCCCGAGACTCTGCACGGCCTTGAGGCGTGGCGCAAGCGCCAGGCACCCGACTGGAAGCCTTTCCGGCTCGGATCGAAGCTATAATCCCCAACATCCCGGCACGTCAGGGATATCTGGGATCAGGGTGTGTGGCGGGCGTGTGGCGGTGGCTGGTGCTGTGGCTGCTGTGGCTGCTGTGGCTGCTGTGGCTGATGTGGCTGCTGTGGCAGGTGTGGGAGCGGGCGTGTTATGGGCTCACAGGTGCTGCTTGCGGTAGTGGGCGGCAGAGAGGACGCAGAAGACGGCGGCACCGAGAGAGATGACACCGGGAATGCCACCCACAAAGACGGCGAGCATAAAGTCGCGCTCGTTGACGTTACCGCCGAGAGTCTTCTTCTCCTCGGCTGCCGCAGGGTGGGCTAGGACGAGGACGGCCGCCAGCGCCACGAGTGCCAAGCCGGCCAGGGACAACACTGTGCGAGCCATGGTGTGCGGGAGGAGGGGGAGGGGATGGGAGTGGGGTGAGGGGAAAGGGGAGGGGAGTGGGGTGAGGACCTGGTGGCTGTCATGCCCTGTCCCCCCCCCCCCTTCTCCCCCCCCCCCGCCTTCCTTCCCACGCGGCGAAACGTAGTTTTGTTCGTCACCGTTCGTCGCACCGAGTCGCGGCCTGCTCACTGCGGGAGTCAGGCGCACCATCGCTGAGGTCCGCCTGATGCGCTGTCGCCGGCCGGATCGCGGCAAGGGGGGTGGCAATCGTTCGTCACAAGCAGTAGGAGACGTCACTTGGGATGTACACTCTTCACTCTGCGTGCTGGTCAAGCATGCGCCGACGGCGCGCGGAAAGTGGCTAACTCTTGGACAACAGCTCTTTGTCAGCGAGCTGTTGCGAGCACACAGGCGGGCGGCTCGCAAGGCCGCACCCAGACTTGCTGGAGGGTGTAGAGGCTGGAGGCTCAAGCCTTGGCGGGCGTGGCAAAGTATCCCGGCGGCGGGATCTCGGGAACGGCAAAGAGCTCAAAGGCTGCGGCGCCATAGGCAGCCATGCAGGCACGCTCTGTCGCAGTGTACTGCCGATCCGCAGCCGGCTCGGCCACGGGCTCCGCTGCGGCCGCAGCAGCAGCAGCAGCAGTGGCAGCAGCGGCGGCAGCTCCCGCACCCGCTCCCGCGGCCGCACCGGCGCCGGCTCTCGTACCGGCTCCCATCCCAGCTCCGACACCTACCCCGGCGCCGCCGCCGCCCACGGCAGCTTCATCTGCGGGTGGCGAGAGGTTCCCCATGGTGTGGGTCTTTTTGACCTCGTCGACAAAGGCGTACGGATTCATCATGACAGCCTCGCGCTTGGCCGCCATTGCCTGCGCCATGGTAGCCTCGACCTGCACAAACCGCTGCAGACCGTCACGCGATTCGGCCATGGCCTTGTACGCCTCCCATCGCATTTCCTCGGCCTGAACGTCGCCGGCATACGTACTTGCCTGGCCCTCGACTGCACCATATGCCGAGAACGGCCAGATTCCGTACTGACTCAAATCGTCACGGATGATCTTGATCCGCTGCTGGGTTGCCGCCGACGTTTGCCCCGCGCCGCCCTTGGCTCCGTGCCCGGTGGCTCCGCCGCCCTGGCCAAACCTGGCTCCGCCGCCCTTGCCGAACCCGCCGCCCTTGCCGAACCCGCCGCCCTGGCCAAACCCGCCGCCCTTGCCAAAACCGCCGCCCTTGCCAAACCCGCCACCCTGGCCAAACCCGCCACCCTGGCCAAACCCAGTCGCGCCCGCACCCTGGCCAAACCCGCCACCGCTCCCGCGCTGCGCAAAACCGCCGCCACCGTTTCCGCTCCCACGCTGTGCAAAGCCGCCGCCGCCGCCCTGGGCATCCTTGGCAAGACCGCCGGGTCCAGAGTGGGCGTACTGGCAGTTGGAAGCCTTGCGGCACGAGTACTTCTTCCAGTGATGGCACACGCCCTTCTTCTTGCCCTTGCCCTTGCCCTTGCCCTTTCGCCCGCCGCCACCGCCGCCGCCGGCTCCCCCCATCGTCACCGTGTCATCGCCAAACGCCCGGCCGCCGCCGCCGCGATTGCCGAACCCTCCACCGCCACGGTTGCCGAACCCGCCGCCACCGCCTCCACCTCCGCGGTTGGCAAACGAGTTCTGCCCGAACGAGCCGCCGCCAAAGCCGCCACCGCCGCCAAAGCCGCCGCCCCCACCACGATTCCCAAACGAGTTCTGTCCAAAGCCACCACCACCACCACCGCCTCCACCGCCGCCGCCGCCTCCGCGAGCACCAAAGCCGCCACCACCACTGGGGCCGTCGTGGCGGAACTTGCAGCTGTTGCCCCTGTTGCACTTGCCCTCTTTCCAGAACTTGCACACCTTGCCACCACCGCCACCGCCACCGCCACCGCCACCGCCACGTCCTCCGCCGTTGTTGTTGCGCCGGCCACCGCCCTTGTTGCTCTTTCCCTTGCCCCGGTTGCCCTTCTTGCGGCGCGCCATCTACCGCCGTCCGACCCGCCAAGCACACACCACCGCCAAGCACACACCACCGTCATGCACACACCACCATCATGCACACATGAGTCATGCACACATGCCCACACCCCACACTCAGTAACGTTTGCTCTCCCCACCGCCACCCCCCCCCCCCCCCCCCTACCCCCCACCTCACTTACTTGCGACAACTGTGGCACCTTCCCCCCAACACCCCCCAACACCACCCCTCCCCCCAAACACCCCACATAGGGCAAACATGGTCCGGGGACTCTCTCTCTCTCTCTGGCTTTCACTCAGAACGGATTGATCCGACGCCCGTCATTCGCGGGTGAGAGAGCATTGACCAGGCCCCACATGAGCGCCTCCTCGCGCGGGATCCAGCCCTTGCCCACACCAAACACAGGGCCGTCGATCTGCTCGCCCGAGAACATGGACCACCGCGGATCGCGGGTGTTGACGCCTGATGGCAGGCGCGCGCCCGAGACAATGATGACGCCCGAGGTGGAAGCGCCGCTTCGCGAGCCTCCGCCGGCCTCGGTTGAGCCGGCGCTGACGGTGAAAGAGGCCGGGAGCGAGGTGGAACCCCGGAACGAGGCGGCCTTGCGAGCAAGCCTTGTGCGTAGCACGCCCATGGACCGCTTTGCCGCCTCTGCCCCAGGGCTCTCTCCGGAGGCGTACGCCCGCTTGGCCGCCTTGAGCATGCGATGGGCCATGCGGTCGTCGTTTCGGGCGGCGAAAAGTGCGCGGCGGTGAGCTGAACAAGGCCGATGTCGCCGGCAAACGGCGCTTCAAAACCGCCGCTCTTGACGAGGTCAGCGACGTTGTCGACAAGTGGGCCGACGACGGGAACAAAGCCGCGGTACATGGCGCGGAACGCGCCCACGTACGACGCGTACGCCATGACCTCCTTCCTGCGGGCGTAGCGCCGGAGGACAGAGCTTCGCACGCACGTCATCCAGTCGACAATCTCACCGATGGCCTCGAGCTCAAAGGCGTCGCAGCGCAGGAGCTTCGCCACAGCGGCGAGGCCGGCATCGAGGCCAGGCTCGGGCGCCGACGAGAGCATGTATGCCCGCACCACGCTCGCACTCGGTTCGTCGCGCTCCTGTGCGCGAGTCGCCTCCTCCAGGTAGGCCTCGGGCGAGCGAAGGCCGGCGGCGGCATGAAGGGCGTTCCGCGAGAGCTTCTTAAGCCCGCCAAAGCGGGCGCAGATCCGGGCGGCCGAGTTGATCGGGTCGCGCACCCGTGAGTCTTTGAGGCAGGCGAGGGCAAGCTCAAACTCGCCAAGTGCCTCGGCGCGCGCTGCGAGCGCCTCATGGACGTGGCGCGTGTGCGGGACGTCGAGGGCGACGGCGAGGGCAACGGCAATCTCGACCTCGTGGCCCTTCATGAGCTTCTGCACGGCGCGGGCGACATCCTCCACAGCCAAATGGCACGCGGCAGCGACAACCGGCTCCGAGTTCTGAAAGTGGCGCTCGGCAACGAGGTCGGCCACGCGGGCGACAAGGCGTGCGTCGCCGCGACCTGCGCCGGGCCCGCGGTCGACGCCGCTAAAGGCGGACGAGCCAGCGGAGAGGACCGAGACAGCTTCATCGGCCATGCCTTCGCTCGAGTCGATTGTCTCACGGCGGACGCGCGCGCCAAAGTGGGCTGCCTCGTAGGCACCAGTCAAATCGCCGCGCTCGATGAGCCACTGCACGAGCGCTGGCGTTCCGCCGGCGGCCGCCTGGTACGCCCCGCCCTCGTCCGAGCCACGCTCATCGAGGACCGAGGCGTAGCGGGCACAGAGCGATTGCCAGTACGCCATCGAGACGCAGGGTGCGAGGGCGACGGCCTTTTCATACTCGCCAAGCTCAAACGAGATTTCACACACCTCGCGCATGCGGCCAAAGCGCAGCGCCTCCTTTTGCGCGGCAGCGAGGCGGTCGCGCCGGCGCGGAGCGCCGACCGCGCCGCCAACAAACTTGGACTCACCGCCGAGCGCCACAGTCGGTTGGCCGCTGCTGGCGACAGCGCGCGTGTACGGGAGGGCGACGCGGACGTCGTCGTCGGCCGGGGCCTCGCCGGTCAGCGCGGCAGCGGCCAGGGCAAAGAGCTCCTCAAGTCCGCGCGGGGCAAAGAAGAGGCCCAACAGGCGGGCGTAGCCCTCAACCGTGCCGAGCGCCACCTCACCGTCGTCAAGCGCCGCAGCGAGAGCAGCCGAGGCCGGCCCGCACAGCCGCAGCGGTTGGCTCGCAGACGACACCACGTCGAGCGGCGAGCCGAGGAGCGAGCTCAACTCGGCGGCGCCGGTCAGCAGCTTGAGGCGAGTCGACGCAATGACTGACTCGACGCACCACAGGCGCAGCGTGGTGTCCCGCGACGACGACGCAAAGACAAAGGGCCGCTGCGGGTGGACGCTCAGCCCGTAGACGTCGGCGTGGTGGTCAAGGACCGTGGCGAGGCACGACGAGTCGCGGACGTCCCACAATCGGATGGACGCGTCCCAAGAGCCGGAAATGAGAAGGTACGGGATTTCCGGCGACCAGACGATGCCACGCACATTCGAGGTGTGGGCCGAGAGGACGGCGACCGAGCTGCCGGAGAGGACCGACCACACACGGACATCCTCGTCGTCCGAGCCCGAGGCAACCCAGTCGCGGACAAGCGGTGAAAAGGCTACGTTAAAGGCACGGGCGCTGTGGCCGGTGAGCGTCTCGACGCTCTTCACCCCGCCAGAGCCGCCCGTGAGTAGGTGCTCGAGGTCAAGCGTGTGGAGGCGGACGGCGCCGTCGTGGCAGCCGGTGGCGAGGAGGCCGCCTGCAAACGGCGACCAGTCGACGCCGTAGCAGGCCTTGGGGTGACGGAGCTTTGCGAGCATGTCGCCGTCGACGGTGCAGACCATGACAGAGCCGTCGCGCGAGGCCGAGGCAAAGATGCGCGGGTGTGTGGGGCACCAAGCAACCCGAAACACGGCGTCGGTGTGATGCTGAATGCGAGTGACAACGACGCCTCGCTCGACATCATAGACCAGGACGTGACCCTCGGCTGACGAGGCAAGCAGGACCGGCTCGGTTGGCGACCACGAGAGGCAGTAGAGGACGCCCTCGTTGCCCGGCGACGAGCTCACACACTCCATGCTCCGCACGTCCCAGACCTTGACCGTTCCGTCAAACGAGGCCGTGGCGAGGTGGTTGGCGTTCGACGGGCAAAACTTGGCGTCAAAGATGGTCTCGCGGTGGCCCGGCGAGGCGAGGCTCTCCCAGCCGCGCTTTTGCAGCGAGTAAACGCCGACGGAGCCGTCCTTGAACGAGCACACGGCCGAGCTCGACTTTTCGAAAAAGGCCAGGTTGTGAAAGGCGGCCTCAGAGACCTTGATCATTTCCTTGTATGAGTCACGCGAGACGTTCCACACGCGGATGACGCCGGCGCGGGCGTCAGTGGTGACAAACTCGCCCGGCGAGCGGACGACCCAGGCGAGCGACTGGACGCCGGCGCTCGGACATTCAAACTTTTTGAGCCGGGTCTGGCCCTCGACGTCGTACATGCAGAGGACCGAGTCCATAAACGCGGCGAGGAGGTAGTTGTTCGAGAGCGGGTCCCACGCCAGGTCACACACCGCTGGGTTGGAAGCCGAGGAGGCGTCGTCGCGTCGAAACTTGACAAACTCGACCGAGATCTCTTCTGCTCGCGACGAGCCGCGGCGCGACTTGGACTTGGACTTGGCCTTGGACTTGGACTTGGCCTTGGCCTTGGACTTGGACTTGGACTTGGACTTGGACTTGGACTTGCCACCGGCCGAGCTCGCTCTAGGCCGGCCGTCGTCGTCATCGACGTCAAAGATGGCGCCGCTGGCGGAGCCCTCGACCATGTCGGCCGGGGCTTCGGCGATGATGATGGTGCCGTCCTCGGTGCCGAGCGCGAGGATGGAACTCACCTTTGGGTTCCACCGGAGGAGGGTGATGGTCTTGGAGGTCAGGCCCGTAGCGACTTTTTCCACGTTGGCCTCAAAGTTCCAAAACACGAGCGCGCCCTTGGCGTCACCGTACCCGATGAGGGTGCGGACAGTGGGCGAGAATGCAGCGCAGGTGGGCGTGGCGGCGGTCCGAACGCGGGTCAGCTCGGCACCCGACTGCACATCCCGGACAATGACCTTGTTCTCCTGCGAGGCCGAGAGAATGAGCTTCTCGTTGGTTCGGCACAAGTCGACAGCAGTAATGGTCTTCTCGTGGCCGGCGAGTACCCTGTAGAGGCGGAACCCGCCGCCGTCGGTCCGCTTGTACACGTACACTGCAAGCGTCGAGGCGTATGCGTACAATGACGAGTGGGCCGAGATTGTGTGGCGGTTCCACGGCTGGGCGCCTGCCGGAAGCAACGCAACCTGCTTCTGTCTCTCCCGCGGCACCCATACCCCATCACAGCGACACACACACCGACACACACACCGACACACCGACACACACACCGACACAACCGAGCTGTGAGTCTCGGTTTCCCGCCCTTGGCCAGCTCCGCCCCCCCACACACACAAACACGCACACACACACACATACGCATACACACATACGCATACCCCTCACCTACACACACACACACACACACACACACACACACACACACACCTGCTAGCTGACCCCCCTTCTCCTCTGTCCCTCCCCCCTCACCCCTCCCCTCCCTCCCCCCCCCTCCCACCACCCCCACCCACCCACCTACCCCCCTCCTCTCACCCACACACACTCCCCACCTCCTCCATACATGCCTCCCCACTACCCCTGCCCCTATCCCGCCCATTGACCTACCATGCGCCCACAACCGACAGAGAGAAAGAGAAAGAGAAAGAGAGAGAGAGTAGTGAGCCCATTCCCCCCCCCCCCTCCCGAAACCAACCCCTATCCCGCCCCTCCTCCGAGAGTATTCAGCCAGCGGCCCCCAAACGACCTTCCCTCCCTTTCCCCCCGACACACACAACTCCCTCCCACCACACCACCACACCCCCTTCCCCCCCCCCCACCCCACCCCCCTCTCCCCCACACACACCCATGGCTTCCCGTGCTGCTGTTGCTGCCGTCGCAGACCTGGCAAAGGTCGTCCGCGAGGTCCGCTTCCACTTTTGTGAATACTCGTCAGCCTCTGAGCCCATGCGGTACGTCCTACCTTTGCCCATACCCTTGCCCAACCCCCTAACCCTACCCCCCCCTCCCCTCCCCCCCTCTCTGTGTCGCCAAGATCCCCCAACACACACGCACATACACCACACACATATACATATGCATGCATACATTCCCGTAGCAACTACGTGGCCTCCAACTACGTCGCGCTGAAGAAGGCCAACCCGGAGGTGCCGCTGCTGGTCCGCCCGGCGCCCGGCGTCTCCCCGCACATTGTCCTTCGCCTGCCCAAGGGCGTGGAGACCACCATTCCGCTCGCTGACGCTGCCGACCCGGCCGACATTGCCGACCGCCTCACCACCACCATCAAGACCATCTAAACAATTTCTCTCTTTCCATTCCACCCTGCACCCTGCCAACTCGACGCTCCGCGCGTGCACCACAAACACCGCCCGCTGGGCCTGCCCGGCTCGGAGACCTGGCCGGCTCGCCCACGCGTAGCGCGCAGAGAGCTTGGGGCCAAGCATCGTCATGGGAGACAGGCCTACAGCGAGCGATAGCACACTCGGGAGCGGAGCTGGAAGATCTACGAAGATCAGGTGACCACCATCGGCTCGACGGCGCCGTCGGCGCCGGCCAGCCCTGCCACGGCGTCGTCGTCGAACCAGTCGACGTCGACGAGGGCGTCGACAAGCGCAAAGTCACCGCTTTCGGCGGCGTCGATCGCGGCCTGCAAGATGGCGTTGCGCGGGACTTGGGCAGGGTTGGCTGCCGCCATTTGCGCAGCACGAGTCGGCTCATCAGAGCCGGCCTCGGCAACCATGGCGGCGTACGGCCCGGTCAGATACGACTGCCAGGCGGCAGTGTCGTCGGCCACCTTTTGGTAAGCGGAGAGCGCGCGGGCGCGCTCCCGCACTTCGGCCTTACGTAGCTCGCCCTGCAGCACGCGCGGCGGAATGTGCGCGAGCATGTGCGGAGCGGTGGCGAGCAGTTGGCGCACCGCAGCAATCTTCTCGTCCGAAATGCGGCCCTGGGCGGCAGCCTCTAGCTGTGCCGGAGTGACGCACCGGGATGCAATGCGCGCAGCGAGCTCAGTCTCGTTGCAGCCAGCGTGAAGTGAAGCGAGGAGCCGGAAGGTCGAGGTAAAGTCTGCGCCGGTGGCGTCAAACACCTCAAACAGGCTCTTGGCATACGCGCGCACCTCGTGCGGCTCAACATCGGGGCGGAGGCCGAGCTTCTCGCGCATCCGGGCAACGTACTCGTCATCGTAGGCGGCAAAGAACGCGTTGCGAACCTCCTCCTCGCTCATGCTTGCGCCCTCATCGTCCAGAAGCGGCCGGAGCGATTCGGCAAGTCTGCAGCAGTTCCAGGCGCAAATCTCCGGTTGAGCGCCGTAGGTGTAGCGGGCTCCATCGTCCGAGCCGTTGCACACATACTGGGCGTTGTAGTGCTCCAAAAAACCGTACGGACCATAGTCAATGGTCAGGCCAAGGATGGACATGTTGTCAGTGTTGAGGACGCCGTGGCAAAAGCCAACCGTCTGCCAGCCCGCGACCAGGCGGCCGGTCCGGGCAGCAACGTCGAGGACGAGCGCCTCAACCGGCCGCTCGACACCCGCCAGGTGAGGGTAGTACTGATCGATGACAAAGCGGGTGAGATCGCCAAGGACATGCGGAGCCGAGGCCGAAGGGCCGGCGCGGCCAGTGACTTCGTCCTCGCTCCGGCAAATCTCAAACGAGCCGAAGCGGAGGAACGACGGCGCGAGGCGAGTGATGACGGCGGCCGGCTCCATGGCCGGGTTGCCGTCGTAGAAGACATCGCGTACAACGTAGGTGTCTGAGACAACGAGCGAGCCGGCACGGGTGGTGGGGATGCCGAGGGCAGCCATGGCCTCCGAGGCGATAAACTCGCGGAGCGAGGAGCGCAAGACCTTGCGCCCGTCGGCGGTGCGCGAGAATGGGGTCTTGCCCGCGCCCTTGTACTGGATCTCCATGCGCCCTGCAGGCCCGCCCACGGTCTCACCGAGGTACATGGTGGCGCCGTCACCAAGCTGGCCGGAAAAGTAGCCAAACTGGAAGCCGCAGTAGCAGTGGGCCGCAGGGGATGCGCCGGCCGGCACAACGTTGCCTGCAAAGACAGCGGCGGCATCGTCGCGGTTGGTGGCCACGCTCGCGGCGAGAGCGTCCTGGTCGATGCCGAGGAGGGCAAGGGCGCTACGCGAGTAGGCCACAAGACGCGGCGAAGCCACAGGAGTCGGTGCTGCAGCCGCAAAGCATGCGCCTACAACCTCGCGCTGCGCAGGTGCGCCCGGCGGCGGCTCGGCCTCGTACGGCAGCGACGTCACGCAGCTGTTCTCCCATTGGAGGCTCTCCAACAGCTCGAGCACCGACGGCACCTCGCTGCCATCACCATTCGCGAGCTTGTTGCTTGCCTTGGCCGCGGAAGTGCCGGGGCTAGTCGGAACGGTGTCGGCTGACGCTGCCATGCGGTGCTCCCGAGGCTGATCACGCGTGCGGGCGAGCGACAGGTGGGCTGCTTTCAGTGTTTGCAATGAATACCAGCATTCATCGGTCTATTCATCCAGGTATTCAATTCGGTATTCCCTTTCGGGGCTATGAATACCCACATGTGCGACTTTGCCCGGACTTGACGCCAGAATCTACACCGCTCTCAGCACTACCATGACCGGCGATGTGCTGCGCAACTTGCGTGTTCGCAGTCAAAGCAAGTCAAGCGTGTACTGGTCGGTGGTTTACGAAGATGAAGGTGGCGAGGATGGCAAGTTTCGATGCATGCTGTGTGGCGTGCAGGTCACCGCCTCGCATGGTAAGACCTCCAACATCGCCAACCACATGAAGCTTCAGCACCGCAGCCTCATCCAGCGGCTTGCTAAGGCAGTCGGCCCTGAGACCTCGTCCCAGCCATCCATCACGCAGTCACTTGGGACGCTGTCCGGCAAGTCACTAGCGGCTCGCAAGAGGGCAACGGCGCCTGCAGCCGTCAAGTTCGTCCTGAGCTCGCACTCGCCGTTCCGCATCATGGACAACCCCGACATGCACGCCATGGTGGCGGCGGCATCGCGCCTCTCTGTTGAGCAAATCAAGCAAGTACTTCCATCTGCGTACCAGGTAGCCGGACCTGGCCTTGATGCGTTGTTTGAGCGCTGCCGCCAGTCCGTCGTCAACCTGACAAAGTCCGGACCTGTCGTGCTGTATGTCGACGAGTGGACGTCCAAGGCGACACACAAGTCATTTCTCGGCATGTGCGCCTCCTTCTACAATAATGATGGAGAGCGTGTAACCGTTCCGGTTGCTTTTCGTGCCCTCACGCCTGAGACTATGCTCGCGATCCAGGAGACTGGTTTGGATAGCGAGCCATCATCAGGCGCCGTAGCAGCGGAAGCACTGGATCACCTGTCTACCAATGCGGCCACACTGGCCAGTATGGTGAAGGAATGCACGGATCGGATGGGACTGGAGTGGGGCCGTGTTTGCGGCGTGGCGACTGACACTACGTCGGTCATGCCGTGCATGGCGCGTGAGCTTGGTCTGCCTTGGTTTCCCTGCCTATCCCACCGCATCAACCTCATCGCAGGCAAGGTCATCCGCCACCTCGGCTCGGTCGCCGAGCCCTGCCCTGAGCTCATCATGCAGGACAACATGCTCGACCTAGTCGGAGACAAGCTTGTGGACAACTTTTCGGACACGGAGGGGGATGACGTAGGTAGCGACACCGAGCCAATGGAGGCTAACTCGAGCGATCCAACGCCAGGTCCGTTCAGCGGAGCCGACTTGTCGGCGCCCGCACCAGTTGCGCCAGTGGCCAAGCGCAAGAACCCCGGTGCTACCAACGATGACGTCCCCCTCGACGATTTGTTGCTCTCAGACCTGCCCAATGCCCCTCTCGATGGTCGCCCGGATCCTCTGTCGAAGGCTCGTCGCATTGTGGCCCTCGTTCAGCGCTCGTCTAAGGTCAAGCGCTACCTCGACCATATCATTGACAAGAAGGAGCACTTGGAACAGGAGGAGTACAACATCGAGGTCTCCAAGTACAAAGGGCTAGTGCAGGGCGGATTGGCGCACAAGGTCGCCCCTCCTATCATGCCACGTCGTCGTCCGCGGTCGCTGCGCCCATCTGTCGTCACCCGCTGGGGGTCGACTGTTGCCATGCTCAATCGCATGCTCGACATGCGCGAGGACATTGACGAGCTCTGCTCCATGCCGGAGGTCTCGGTCGAGAAGCTTTCGGACGACGACTGGGCGCAGCTCAAGCTCGCGTACCCAGTCCTCAGCATGATCGACATGGCCTCCACCAGATCGCAGAGGGAGGATAATCGGCCCTCGGATGCGATTGTGACGATGCTGCATATGCGCTCCGGCATGCAAGAGATTATCTCAGTCCAGGCGTCTGGCGCGGGCACAGCCGCTTTGAAGGCAATCGGAAGCGAGCTCAAGTACTTTGCCGAGCAAGACACATCGCTATTCGCTTTCCTCATTGACCCCGAGGTCACCCATGAGCAACTGCGAGAGTTTTATGGCTGCTACGCCAAGGCATTGTACGGCGACAGAACGACAGATACCTTGATCCAGCGCGTTCGCCGCGACGTGTGGGGCCGCTTTGCGAGCAAGATTGCGGTTGCATTCCATGACCAGCTTGCGCGCACCGAGAACGAACCTGTCCCGGAAGTGGTGGACATCGCGTTTGCCCCAGATGATGCTCCTCGGCGCGCCTCTGCATCTGCGAACAACATCAGTGCCGGTTCATCAGGTGTGTCCGAGTGCGGGACTGAGTCGTCACGATGTGATGAAGTTGTGGACCTTATTCTGCAAAAGTACAAGCGCCAGCTTGAGGCTACCACCGGTAGTCGCGTTGGGTCCAAGAAGCCGCGCACGGCCTTTGCCCAGCAGGCGAGCAACCGCCCTTCCGCGACTCTGCTAATCGAGAGTTACTCCAAGGCACTTACTCAGGCCATCTTCGACTACAAGAACATCGGTGTAACGATGTCGCCAGACGCGCGCATCCAGCTGATCCCCGCCTTGGCCCGCACTAAGTGCCGCTTCGGTGACGATCAGCGCATCTTCGATCTTATGGAGGCAGCAACGGCGCTCCTTCGTCCGCTGCTGCTCCCCTCTGCTGCAGCTGCGAGCGTGGAACGGCTCAACTCGGTGGGCACAGACATGCTCACTCGTAAGCGCAACCGTCTTGACTCCGAAAGGATCGAGAAGATGGTGCTCACGCGCTGCTGGATCGCTGCCTCCACGAAGCTCGGTATCGACCTGTAGAGGAATATTCATTCCAAAGGTCCAGGTATTCATTCCTGACCAATATTTCGCGAAATTTCAAACACTGGCTGCTTTACTGGCGGCTGACGCGATCAGCCACACCGGCACTCATGTTGATGGACGGGCCAGCGGGAGATTGCCGCCGACGCTCCCACACTTGGGCGAGGACGTGGCGCTGGCCCAGGCGCCAGCCATCGGTGACGGCGAGGGCCTCACCGAGTCGATCGCAGGCGACTAGGGAGGTGCGCAGCTCCTCGCCGTCCTCGAGGAGGGCTGCGACAAAGATGGCCGCGTCGAGGAGGCTTTTGGCCCGGAGCTGGTCGAGGAGGGCGCGGAGAAGGTCGACGAGTGAGGCCTCCCAGAAGAACAGTGCCAGCGAGAGATAGGCACGCGGGTCGAGCTCGCCGGCGGCCGAGTAGGCCTGGACGACGACTTTGAGCGCCATTGGCTCTGCACGCCCCGCGAGCTCGGCGACAAGGACAAGGTGAGCGACGGCGTCGCGGACGTTGCGGGCGAGCGACTCGCCGTCGAGCGCATCGTCGGCGGCCCAGCGCGGCGGCGAGCCAAATAGCGGCAGCGGGGCTCGCGCTGGGAGCTGGATGGGCTCGACACCGGCCAGAACGCGCGAGGTGTGGCCGGCTTCGTGTGCGGGGTCGTCATCGGCAGCACCAGCTGCGGTCCGAACGTCGAGCAGGACCTTGCCCACGGCCCGGGCGCGCTCCAGTGCGCACTCAAGGGCCGAGGCAAGCTCGCCGGCGCGGATGCAGATGGCAAAGCGCGACCAGAGATCGAGGTGCGGGACGGCGAGGGCCGAGGCGACCGCGCCGCGGGCCTCGAGAAAGGCTGCGAGCTCGGCGCAGTGGCTTGCGTGGATGACCTGTGCCCACTGCAGCGCGCCCGCGTGTTCGCCAGCGGTGGAAAGCAGGCGGAACTTGAGGGCGGCTGCAGCGAGCGAGATGGGAGTGACCCGGTTGCGGGTGTCGAGAACAAGTAGGGCGTCGTCGACGACGCCGAGGAGCGCAATGGCGCCGGCGGGGCGGAGCTGGTCGGCGAGCGCGGTCTCGCCCTGGCCAGGCCCGCAGCTGCCGGCGAGCGCGGGTGGGACAGCATACGAGGCCAGAAGCCAGGTGGACGCCGCGAGGCGCGACGGGAAGAGGACGCGAATCTCGCTTGCGGTGGCGAACAGCAACGAGTTGTTGAACCAGACCGCCGAGGTGAGGCGGAACGGGGCCCTGCAGACCGACTCGAGCACGCCGGAAGGGCCGGCCTCGGCGACAACGAGGTGAGAGTCGTAGGCGACGGCGACGCGCGCCCCGTGGCACACATCCCACACCAACGCGCGCGGCAGCTCCATGGGGTGGCCAACAACCTTGTGCTCGGACCAGTCGACAAAGACAAGGTGGCGGACAAGGCGCCACTCGTAGCGGGGCGCGCCGTCGGCCGCCGACGGCTCAACCGTGGGTGCGAGGCGGCGCTCGGGGCGCAGAAAGCCAATGCCGAGCAGCGGGCCTGAGAACAGTTGAACGACGGCAGGGTGCGCAGCGAGCGGGTGCAGGCCCGAGTCGGACGCGGGTGTGGCGGACGAGAGTGAGGCGACGTGGTCGGGCATGGCAGGCAGCGCAACCGACGCAGCAGTGACCGAGACCTGGCCAGCAGAGTCGATGACAGAGACGGAGACAGTGGCAGCGAGGGCCTCGCCGTGGCGTGGAGGGACAAGGCTGGAGAGCTTGACGTCCCACCTCGCCTCACGCTTGGTGCTCTTTTCGGCGACGGCGACGTCGGCTAGGATGGCGTCGCGAGCGTCTTGCGGAGCCTGCAAGCAGACGGCAAAGGCGTCGAGATCAAGGCCAGAAGCCCAGGCGAGGTCGAGGACGGCGGACGCGCGGTGGACAACGGCCCAGGAGGAGGTGTCGTAAATGACGGCCTCGCGAGCGTCGGCAAAGAGCACAGCAAGGTACTTTTCCGACGGCGAGAGCGCAAGCTTGGCAACGCCGGAGCGTGGCAGAGTAGCGAGAGGGACCAAGTGCGTTGCAGTGGCGGCAGAGGCATAGGCGCCGGCGCGAAGCATGTTCTCAGAGAGGGCAAGCGAGGCAAGACACGCGTCTACAAGCATGTAGGCAGAGCGGGTAGCGGTGGCGAGGGCGCGGAAGGGGGCGACGCCGGCAATGGCTGTCGGCGGCGCGTCGTGTGACGAGGCGTCGAGGGCGACGACCAAGACAGCGTCTGCGGTAGCGACGATTATCTCGTGCGAGTGGAGGCTGTGGGACTCGCAGTGGACGAGCCGCACTTTGTCCTTCTTTTTGAGGCCCGGAGCAATGTCGAGGAGCAGACGGCGCAGATCGAGTATGGGCGAGACGAGAGCTGCGGCACCGTCGACGCGGACGACGTACAGATGCGAGTCCTTTTCGCGAATAGCAAGCATGGAGGCGGAGCCAAAGCGCGGCGAGCGTGCAGGCGTGAGAGCAACAACGGGAGGTGCCTTTGATGGCAGCGAGACAAGGTTGACGTGGCCTCCGTCGCCGTCGGTGTAGACGGCAAGCTTCTTGTCAGAGCCGACCGAGTACATGAGGGCGGGATCGGTACCGACGGCGAGGGAAAGCAGCGAGCCGGAGTGGACTTTGGGGATGAGATGGAGAAGGGTCTCACTCTCCAGATCCCAGAGGGCGACCTCGCCCGAGGCAGCCGACATGAGGATCGGCTTCTGCGCCGAGGCGACGACGAGGTGGCTCACGGCCTTTGTGTGCGCACCCGAGAGGCGGGCAACCATGCGCTCTTCGGCAGCGTCCCAGACACGGATGACGCCGTCGGTCCCGCCGAGGACGATCTGATAGCAGGCGTGGAGCATGGCAAAGGCCGCGACGGGCTTTTCCAGATGGACGCGCTCGAGGACATGAACGACCGACGACGTGTACTCGAGCATAAAGACGCGGTACTCGGCGACAACAACAATCCAGTGGTGGCGCCGCGGAGCGGAGCGGGTGCCTGGGGCGCCACCGTCGCTGCGGCCTGCGCCGCGGTCGTCGGCAAACTCGTCGTCGCCGCCGCTGGAGTGGGGCTCGGGCGCGGCCCAGCGGTGCAAGTGCGGATCGGCAAAGGCAACGCCGACGATGGCACCAATCTTCTCGGCTTTAGGCGCACTCCCGCTGGTCAGCCCCAAGCCCGGGCCCGTAAAGTCTGCGGCTTTTTCCACTTGCCGCAGCAGCGCCCAGTTTGCCCGCTTCTCGTCGTCGAGGGCTGAGAGGGCGAGTTCCTTGAGGACGACCTGCCCACCACATGTATGCGTGAGTGAGACGTGCAACGGGGGAGGGGGGAGGGGGGGGGAGGGGGGGGGGGGGGGGGGGGCACATGGAGTGACACGTTGGTGGCAGCCTGTCTCTATGGCTGCGTTCCCGTACCTTGTGTCTGTAGTCCCACCAGGTGACGGTCTCTCGGGCGTCACAAGCGACTACCCAGGGGTGGACAGGATGGACGGCTATGCTGCGGATCTTGTGTGCTGTTCTGCCTGCAAAGGCCACATGTGCGTCCTGCATGTCCGCCGCCACCACCACCACCACCACGTCGACCAAGGTGCGGGGTGCGGTGTGAAAGAGAGAGTCAGGTGTAGGGGGACGGGGAGGGGCGGAGACGGGCAGGGCAGAGGCTCTGCTCTGGACATGGCACGTTCACGCACAGCCAACCAGTAGCAGGGTGCAGGTACAGACAATCATAGTTTGATGGTGGGCATCGCCCGCCTTGGGAGAGTTAGGGCGAGCTAGGCGAGGTGGTTGAGCACAGTCTGCGGCGTGACGATGCCGCCGTGGGTCCCGTCCTCGTTCTCCATGACAGCAAAGCCCTTGGCGCGGACGACGCGAACGATGTGGCGCAGCGGATCGTCGCGCTTGACGACCGGGAACGAGTCAAAGCCCTTGATGCTCGTGATGGCGTCGGACGACGAGCCGCCGGACGAAGTCGTGAGGTGGTTGAAGACCTGCGACTCAGAAACGACACCAAGGTACTTGCCCGAGCCGTCAGCGACAGCCACGACGCGGGCGTTGCCGGCCTTGAAGGTGGCGTTGAGCGCCTCGACGGCGTTGAGCACGTTGGACTCGTTGAAGAGCGGGATGGGCTCCTCCGGGTAGAGCGACATGGCGTCCTGCTCGCGCCAGACCTTGGTGGCGGCGTCGCGGACCGGATCCGTGTGCAGGCCGGTGTCGTCCATCCAGGTGTCGCTCACAAACTTGGAGAGGTAGTTGCGGATCGAGTCCGGAAGAATGACGACCGCGGTCTGGTCCTCGCGAAGGTCCTTGCCGGCCTCCACAACAGCCTGGATGACCGAGCCTGACGAGCCGCCGCAAAGGAGGCCCTCCTCAGCGATGAGGCGGCGCGCAAACTTAAAGGTCTCGCGATCGTTGGTCTTCACCCACGTGTCGACAAGGTCGTGCTGCAGGACCGGGATCATAAAGTCGTAGCCGGAGCCTTCCACCTCGTACGGCGTCACAGGGCCCGGTCCGGCGAGAATAGAGCCCTCAGGATCCGCACCCACGATCTGGATGTCCGGGTTGAGCTCCTTCAGCCGGCGTGCAGTGCCGGTGATGGCGCCGCCGGTTCCGGTGGCCACAACGAGCATGTCGACCTTGCCGCCGGTCTGGTCCCAGATCTCGGCACCGGTTCCGTCGTAGTGAGCGAGCACGTTCGACGGGTTGAGGTACTGGTCGAGCACGTGCGCGTTGGGCAGCTCGTCAGCGAGGCGGAAGGCAATGCCGATGTGCGACTCGGGCGAGTCCCAGGCGGCATCGTTGGGCGAGCGGATGACGTCCGCCCCGAGCGCGCGGAGCACGTTCTCCTTCTCCATCGACATCTTCTCCGGCATGACAATGATGCAGTTGAGCCCGCGGACGGCGCAGGTCATGGCGAGGCCGATTCCGGTGTTGCCGCTCGTCGGCTCGATGATGGTGTCGCCCGGCTTGATCCGGCCCGCCGCCAGCGCGTCCTCCACCATGCGGAAGCCGATGCGATCCTTGAGCGAGCCACCGGCGTTGAAGAACTCGCACTTGGCCAGGACCTGACACTTGAGCTCGTCCCGAGTCACCCGGTTAAGCCGAATCAGCGGCGTGTTCCCGATGGCCTCCAGAGCATCGTCCATCACCGTGTCGGTCTTGATCGGCGCCCGGAAGTGCCGGTGCGGCGACGGCTCGTCCGTGTTGGGCTTCCACGTGCACTTGGAGATACCCGGGTGGGTCAGGTCTGTAGTGGAGGAGCTGTGAGACGGCGCGAGAGGGAGGACGAGGAAGGGCGATGGAATGGGAAGGGGGTGGGGGAGGGGGGAGGCCGAGCAGGAGGGGGGATTTTGCTCTACTCTGCTCAGCTCGAGCTGGCAACAAGGGGGCC